CGAGTAACTAGGACTACAGGCATGCACCAGCACTCCTGGCTATTTAAATACACACACACACACACACACACACACACACACACACACACTAGAGACAGGGTCTCACTATGTTGTCCAGGTTGGTCTTGAACTCCTGGCCTCAAGCAATGCTTCTGCTTTAGCCTCCCAAAGCACTGGCATCACAAACATGAGCCACTGTACCTGGCCTTAATATTATCTTAATGCCATAATGGTGATTTAGTTGAAAACATTATCTGCACAATTATCATGTGCCAGGCACTGTGCAAAACGCTTTCTATGCATTGCTTCATTTAATCCTTGTATCAACCGACCTCATGTGTTAGATACTGTTATTATTCCAACATTACAAATGAGGAAACTGAAGCTAAGAAAAGTAATGTAGCTTGTCCAAGGACACACAGTGAACAAGTGGCAAGCAGTATATTAGCCAGAATGACCTTTTGAAGTTTAAAGCAGATCACACCACTCACATGCTTAGAAGTGCAACAGATTAGAACGGGAGGCAAGACCTCCTGCAGACCTAAGAGCCCAACCCAATTGTCTCACCCACTCATCTCTCCTGCAACAGGATGTGCCACAGCCTAATCCAAGTGGCCATCTTTCTGTACCAAATAGATCAAGCTTGTTTCCACATTAGGAGCTTTGCTCTTCCCCCGCCTAAGGCCTTTCCCTGGCCAGCTTGTCCTTGACATGTAAGTCTCATCTGCCTGGTCACCATGTCTAAAGGAGCCCTAGAAACCTGCCACACTATATCTGGTTACCACTTTTTGAAATTGTTCTATCAATTAATCAATGTATTTTCATCTACATGACCCTAATGTAAACCTAAAACGGGGACCTCATGTGTCTTATTTTCTTACATATCCCAACACCCCTGGAACAGAGCCTGACACACAGATGCTCGGTAAATGTCTGTTGAATGAATGAGTGAGCTGGTCTGACTCTAGAGCCTGAGTCATCAGCTGCTAAAATAAATTGTCTTTTTTGTCATTCTGCCACATGATGAATGATGACTTATGTTTGCTACTTTTCTTTGGCTTACTCTTATTGATCTGATCTGCTGTAAACA